CCACTGTGACAGCCGTGAGCTCTGGGGAAGCACACCAGGAAACGGGGAGGGGGTCTTACTTCTTTCTGTACCCTTTATGCATGGCTTGCAGTATTCACCATGTGCAGGCATTACTGAAAACCTCAACTCAATGGAATGAAAACAGCGCAGAGGTCTGTGCACCAGCCCTGTGTCTGCGGGCCTCACCCCTTCGGCCTGACGACGCTGAGCCTGCAGCCGTGATTGGGCCCCAAGGGAGCCAACTGCTGGGCCACTGTGGGGGCACGGGGCCCGGTGTCTTCTTCACAAGGCCACCTGCTCTCCTGCCGTCACCCCACATATGTGGCTGCCTTCAGTACGTGGCCTTTTTAGTGCCTCTGATGTACCTGGCACCCTCTTTGCTGAGTGCCCGTGGGGAGGGGGCTCCGAGGACACAGAGGGTCTGACATGGTTTCTGGAAGCCCTCAGACTGGGGGAGCAGCTCTAATTCCCCCAGCAGATCCCTTCCAAATTGGTCACTGTCCCTGCAAGGTGCCCATGGAGAGGTGGGGAAGGGTCTCCTTGAGGATCCCCCCCGCCCCCGCCCCACCCCCGCAGCCAGGAGACCGCGCTCAGAGAGGGGTTTCTTCACCTGGCCTGCGGCGGTCCTTTCAGAGTGGGTGGGGGTCAGGAGGCCCCAGGCAGCCAAGGGAGAGCCCCGGGGGTGTGGGGGGTGAGGGGTGGCCTGTCAGGACTCAGGGCGAGGTCTGACTCCAGGGCAGGGCCAACGCTCAGGGAAGCGGCCCCGGGGAACTGGGCGGGGAGGCGGGGAAAGCCCGGCCGAGGGCAGTGGGGGGGAAGCGGGGCCAGGCCCAAGGTTGGGCGGGGGGCACAGGTGGACGGGGCGCGTGGGGTCGGGGGCTCGGCCCGCACGGACACTACCCCCCCAGCCCCGGTCGAGGAAGCGCGCCTGGCGGTCCGGGCCCTCCCGGCTCCAGGTGGGTGTGGTGTCAGCGGGCTGGCTGTAGGAGGAAGTTGTTGGAAAGTCAGACCGGAATGGCCTCGAGGGAAGGCCGGGCAGGGCCCGGCCCAGATGGTTCCTGTTGAGGAAGCGGTGGGCACAGCTGCAGGCCGCTTCCCCGGCCCCGGCCCTACTATCACAGTGACACAGCTGGCTGCCCGGCCCGCGGGCTGCAGGGAGACCTCCCCCACCGGCGCCTCCCCAGGCCCGCCCTGCGTCACATGAGCCCCTGCAGCCTCCCGCCCCCTCCCCAGGCCGGCGGGCACGGCTGCTGGAAGGCGTGGAGCTGTCTGGGGGACAGAGGCCGCCGGCTGCCGGAGAGCCGGGCCGGCCGCGGCCCTCTTCCCTCCCTTGTGGCCCCACGAGGTCAGGAAGGGCGCTCACGTCGGCCCCCAGAGGGCTGCTCACCTGTCGCCCGGCGCCAGGACTGCCTCCCGGACCCACCTCCAGTCCTATGTCCCTGGCGTCCCCCTGTGCTGGAGAGCGTCGCTGCGTCCACCGGCTGCTCAGTGCCCCGGGGTTCCCAGGAAGGGCAGCCAGGTAAGGGGATGGGGGGGGGGGTGGCGTGGGGGCCGGAGCAGGTGGTCAGAGTGTGACATCTCTAGGCTGCCTCCTGCCTGGCTCTGTTGACTCACCTCAAACCCACACAGCTGGGACAGGTGGCCCCGGAGGGCCCGGCAGGTGCCAGGCCGGGTGTGGGCGCCCCACCCGGAGGCAGATGCTGGAAGGGGCCTGCTCAGTCCCATCTAGGAGGGAGTGGGCTCTGTCTTCCCCCACGGGCAGGGTCCCGGGACTTGGTGAGGAAGGCGGTGTGCGGTCCTCCCGGCAGGACCCTGAGGCTTAGGGGTGGGATGAGGACACTGGGTCCACGGGGAAGAGGGCCTGGGCCGGGGCCCTGGGCTCCAGCGATGGTCCAGGACTCAACCGCCGTACCCACTGATGAGCTGTCCCTGGCAAGACCCCTGCCCTTTGGAGCCGGTGCCAGAGAGAAGTGGTGATGGGCAGGCCTCCCCGCCACCCCGTGGCCCCCACTGCCAAGCACCTGGCTCACCCCAAGACTGGGGGGGCACAGCCGTGAGCAGGCGACCCCACTCCCCAGCCCACGCCACGTGGCCACGCTCCGAGGAAACTTTGTAACCTTCCAGACCTCGCAGCCCCAAGTCCCGCTCCTGGAGCCTTCTCCAGAGGCCAAGTGGGCCCCTGACCCGCAGGCCCGGCACCCCGACCCAGGGATGTCCCTGCCGGCTCTGTAGAGCCTGCTTCCCCAACCTGCTGCCGTCCAGGCCCCGAGGGCCAGCCCCTGATTCGGGCTCTATCAGTCACCCGAAGCCAGGTGTGGGAAAGCCTGCCTTGAGACAGGGTGAGGAGTGCACCCACGGCATCTCCCACGTGTGGGTGACTCCAAGACGCCTACAGGGTGGTGCCAGGTTGCTGGCCCTGGCACATGGTCACCCTGCCTCTCAGGCTGGCCAGTGGCTCCGGTCCAGTCAAGTTCCTGGTGGGCACCACACAGCCCCTTCCCTTCCTGGGGCAGCCCCCCCCCCCCCGCGCCCGCCGCGGGGGGGGGGGGGGGAGGCGGGCCCGGGCACCCGCCGCGTCCTCGCCTGGGCGCGAGTGTCAGGGTCCTCGCCAGGGTCCTCGAGTGTCAAAGCCTGTCCTCCTGCTCCCTGATGGAGCCAAGGCGCAGCTCCTCCCAGGCTGCCGTGGGAGAGGACAGACAGCAGGTGCTTGTGCGAGCCTCGGGCTGTGTTGTGTTTGGATGGGGCAGGGGCGTTCGCGCGAGGAAGGAGTTTGAGGCGGCAGTGCCTCCACGGTGCCGGTGGGCCGCGGGCACCGGGGTGGACGGTCTCATGCAGAATCCCAGCCATCAGTTTATCGACCCCGCGGTCACTGCGCATGCCAAGCTCACTGCTCCCCCGGGGTGGGGGGGGCTCCCCGGGGCGGTGGGTGTTTGGCCAGTGTGTTATTGGGCTCCGGCTTGTGTGGGCACGGGAGTCCCAGCCCCGAGGTACTCTGGCTTTTACAAGCTCACAGCCCATCTTTTCTTAATCGTCCGGCTCCACAGGACGGGCCACAGCCAGGCTGGGACACGTCCTAACCCCTCAGGCCGCCCCAGACCCCACCCCCTACCCCCCCCCCCCCAGGGCTCTGCAATGCTGGAGGGACCGCCAGGGAGAGCAGCAGGCCGGCTGGGGGAGCCCTTGGGGTCTGGGGGGTCTCGGGGTCTAGGACAGGCCAGTGGGGAGCACGGCTCCACCGTGCAGTTTCTGGGGCCCACAGGCACCCCAAGAATCCATGAAAACCTCGGAGACCCCAAAATACGTTAAGTGGCCCTAAAGTATGAAAGCAACAACGGTTGGTGATATCTTCTGAAGGGTTAGGACGGAGCCTTTCCGCCTGAGAGCGAACACCTCTGAACGTGGCCGTGGCTGTCCGGCTGGCAGGAGGCGCACGCCGAGGTCAGGCAGACGGCGTGGCCCTCCTGGCCGCCAGATCCCGCTGCAGAGCCCCGGGCAGGCGCCGCAGCTCCTCCGCAGCCCTGCTGTGGTGGAGGACTGGATGGGTCCGGACCCCACGGTGACCCCACGGGTGGTAGACCCGCTCAGGGCAGGGGAGACCTGAGCGTGCAGTGGGAAAGAGGAGTGTTTACCTCGCTCAGATTTATTAGGCGCCTACTGTATGTGCAGGCCCCCATTCCAACGAGCCCACTCTGCAGACGGGGAGACTGAGGGTCAGGTTGCTGCGCCCCCGACAGGAACCAGAGATGGGACCCAGGACACCTGGCAGAGGAGGGCCAGGACAGACCATTGAAGTCACTCCAATTTGGCCTGAAGCAGAGGAGGCTGGGGGCAATTCACCATGACCACCTGGGGGAGAAACGGAGTCGAGCCTGCTCTGGTATCACTGGGGAGGGACAACGTGGGGTCCAGGTGGCAGACTTCAGCCTTCGTGTGACCGGGGAGATAATGAGCATTCCATCCCTAGAGGCGTCCAAGCAGATGCGGCTGGTGTTGGGTGGTTAGTGAGGGTTGGGTGAGATCCCACAGAAGGTGCCGTCCTGAGCCTGGAGCCCGGCAGAGTCCAGCCTTGGGCCACCTGGTCCAGGGTGGGGAGGGTCCAGAGGCCACCACAGCCAGCACGTGCACACTCCGACCCCAGTGTGCCCGGGGCACCCCGTGCAAATCTATCGGTGTCCTGACAGTTCCCACAAGCATGGTGGGGAGGCTCCTCCTCCCCACCATGCCCTCTCAGGCCCCGTCCTCCCCCTGCCCCCTCCAGCTTCCCCTTGACCACCGGCTCTTCTCCACATGCCCTTCCCTGCTGTATTAATCTCCTGGGACCGCTGTGACAAAGTGCCACCGACCAGCGGGCTCGGAATAGGAATCTATCCGCCCCCAGGTCTGGAGGCCCAAAATCGAGGTGTGGGCGGGGCCGAGCCCCCTCCCCCAGCTCCCGGGGAGGGTCCTCCCTGCCTCCTCCAACTGTGGCTGTGTCCCTCCCATCTCTGCCCCTGTCTTCATGTGGCTTCTCCTCTGTGTCCCTATGCCCTCTCCTTTCCTGTAAGGACACTTGTCATTGGATTCAGGGCCCCCCAGTCCAGGTGACCAGACCTGTAACCATCCCATCTGTATCCAGGCAGCAGGCTTGGGGAAAGGCGCCCAGAGCCCGTACTGCCCATCTCTATCACGGCCTGTGGTCAGGATGTGGCCGCACGGCCTCCCGGGGGGCAAGGCCGTCTCTGTCCCAAGCCCCCAGCATCCCTCTTGTCACTCAGCCGTGGCCCCTGGCCGTGCTTGTGGGGACCGTCAGGACACCGATAGATGTGTATGGGGTGCCCAGGGCATCGGGGTCGGAGTATGCGCAAAAGCCCCTCTCCGCGATGAGGGCCCGGGCTGAGCCCCGCAGTGACCGCCTGACTTGTGACATGGCTGTGACCCTCTGCGTCTGTGCACAAAGTACCGTTGGCAACTTTGTTGTTCGATCTTGTCAGTATCGTCGCCGTGTGCAGGGCGGCCCTCCCGCAGGGGCTTTTCCCTTCGCTCAGACCCCACCGAGACCTGAGGCGACAGGTCCCATCTCCCGCCTCCTGTTCCTGTCTCGAACACACAGTGCCGGGGACCCTGGCTCGGGGCCTGCAAGCCCGCATGTCATGGCGACCGCCATCACAGAAAAAGATACCGAGGGTCCCAGGGGCACCCAGAAGGCCAGAGCGGAGGCGCGATTGAGCTAGCTCTGTTGACTCTACAGACGGATGCAGGGTCCGTTCAGGGAGGGAAGCCGGCCCCAGGGCCACCGCCTGGCAGGAAGCCAGCAGCACCACGGAGAGATTGGAGAAGGGTGATTTGATGACCTTTAATAAGGGTCAAAGGTTAAACAGAGCAAAGGTTAAACACAGTCTGGGGGCCGATGTCCCTGAGCAGGGGCGAAGAAGGGCAGAGGGGAAGGAGCTGGGAGAGAGCCCAGGAGAGGGAGTGCAGTGGGGCTGTGGTCGTCCAAGGGGTTGGGAAGCCCTCAGGACACACACCCACCTGTCCCTCCCGCCACCCCCCGCATCCCCCGAGGCGCTCTGGGTGGCCCGCTGGAGCCAGCCTCCGGGGCACGAAACTCTGGACACACAGGAGCCCTGGACTCGGTCAGGAAGCCTGGTTCCAAGGGCAGAGCCTGCAGTCCCCTGAGGCTTATGTCAGGACAAAGAGGAAGGCCACTCCTGGGGAAAGCCAGGACCCCTTCCTCCCCCAGTAAATGTGGGGCGTTTTGCTCCTGGGGCCCTCAGTGTCTGCTGGAACATGTGTGTCCGCTGCCCATGCGGTCCCCGTGCCACAAGCCTCCTGAGACAGGCCAACAGGAGGACACCAACCAGCCATGTCCTCCCCACCCACTGAACCCCGAATCTGAGCCTAGGAAGATAGAGCTGCCGGCCGGGTGCAATCCAGGCCAGCTTCCTGGAGGAAGTGGTCCCAAGAGGGCAGCAGGAGGAGGCAAAGAAGGCTTTCACTTCTCGAGGTATCTTGACTGCAGAGAGAGGCATCCGTGTTAACCTGATTCAGCAGCCGGCCCCGCGGGGGCTTTCTCACACTTTCACTTCCGTGACTACGGTTGACCAGGGGAGGCACAGCCAGGAAGCGTGGCCCGGGGGGGAGGCCAGAACGGGTTACCACTGAGCCAGGACTCTCCGTCCGTGTTCCCTCTGGGATCATCCGCTCTGGACGAGGCCTCGGTTGCTGTTAGCCAAGGGAGGGACGGCGGCCGGGGAGAAGAGGGGCGTCACCCGGGCTGGCCACGGGGCCCGTGGACTCCGTGGGCTCCGGATCATTCACATGGATTGTTCTGCGGCGGAGGCTGGAGCGCAATGGGCATTAGCGATTACGACCCCCGCCGGGACGGACAGGCAGCCCCCGACAGCTGCCCAGGGTGCAGGCGGGCGTCAGTGCAGCTTCTCGGGGCACTTACAGACCTGCCTTGTCTCTGTCACTCGCGGGAGCGAGCCTATGACAAAGTCAGTCGGATCACAGCACGCCTGCACACAGGCCCTCCCAGGG